GATTAAGAAAGTAGAGTGTGCTGGTTCTTAGGGGAAATATTTTGTATTGAGTAAAGTTTTGGTGGATTTACATTGTGAGGGGGAATATGTTGGAGACCCTATACTTGAACAAAATTCCCTTGTTAGGCTCAACTTGGGTGCATCTACTGAGGGGAAATCGATGAGAGATCCATCTGTCAAACCTAGTTCTTCTATTGGGAACCAATATAAACTGACATTTCGGATTGATATATAAAAAAATAATTTTTTTTATAGTTGATGCTGCACCTGATAGTACACATCCAGGGAACAGATTGAGAGAAAATGTTCCTTTACAAGTGATATTCAAGAAAATTTGTTCCTCTTGCTAACTCTATTGAAATTAAAGATGAGTGAACTATTGTATCTGCAGAAGGTACATGATTGATTGAACAAGTTCCTTAAAAGTGATATAAAAAGAAAAAAAGGGGATTGAGCGTGCATAGACCAAGGTTAACTTTGAAATTGAGAAGGCTGCTAATTTTGTTAATCTAAAAAATATTTTTGCTGCTGAAAAATGACTTTTATTTATCCTCTCATCTTTTGATATTACCTAACCACTCTAGACTTTGACTTTCAATTTTTTTTCCATCACAAGTGCTTGATTCTATGTTTAATTTTGATTGCATTTGTGGTGTATATGCTTTTTGATTAATGCTAGTGTTGGGTTTGAGTTTCAGGTTAATGTCTATCTCCTATGTTTGTGCAAATGCTTTGCTTTAGCTCATTGCGTTCTTGATTTTTAAGTGTTTGTGTAAGTGATAGCTCCAGTAGCCATGAGTATCGAATTTGCCTAATGTCAAAAGGGAGAAGCAGATGTGTATTTGCCATAGTCAAAAGGGGGGAATTTGTTAAAGTATTGTTGTTTTGAAGTATGGCAAAGTTAAGTAGTTATAGTAGTAACATGGCAAAAGAAAGAAAATGTGTCTCTTATTTGCTGAGTTCGAAATGTATAATTATCATTATCAAAAATGGGAAATTTGTTAGAATGATAAAGATTTTGATAATTGACAAATACAGAAACAGATGAAAGAAACAGGTTGTACAGACATGTTCCTTACAGAACGAATCCGACTTGGATAAGGAGAACATCAACCACGTGAATTAGAAGTTATAAAGCTGTGAATTATTATTTTTTCGACAAGAAACAAGTACAAAAAGTATCCTTTTATAAAGGAGTTCAAAGCCAAGTGAAAGAAGGAAAACTAATTCCTATTTAAGGAAATCTATTTAAGGAAATTGTGTTTTCTTATTTATTTAAGGAAATTGTACTTTCTTATTTATTTAAGGAAATCCTGTAGAAAAGGAGTCTAATTAGAAGTCAACAAGGATTTGTAGAAAGAGAATACAAGTTGAACTATACAAGGATTTGTTGAAGTTCTGATCTATAAATAGGGAGCTATTTGCATAAAAAAAATTGTGCACTTACATAGAGAGAAGATCAAAACACAATCAAGAGGTTTGAGAGAGTTTTGAGATTTATTGGGAGTGTTGCAATTTGTGAGAAAAAAATGTAAGATTTTATTCAAGAGTCTTGTTTACAATCTGAGTTTTGTGAGTAGAAATTGTTCGACAAGTTGTAGAACTTGAAGAACATCAGAAGATATAAAACCGAGGGGTTTTGTGTCTTTGAGTAGCTAGAAATTAGAGTTTATAATTTCTTAGCTAGGAATTATAGTTTATAATTCCTTAGATTACATATCTTTGTAATTTCTTGTTGTTGATGTTCAAAGTTTATTAAAGTGGAGTAAATCCTACAGAGGTGTAGATCGTGGTTTTTACCCTTGTGAGTTGGGGTTTTCCACTATAAAATATTATGTCATTATTTTATTTACTTCACAAAACGTAACTGCTGTAATTTCTCAAAAGAACATATAGAATAAACCTGTTCTTAAGGCGAATTTAGGGGTCAGAATTCCAACATTGCTAATATTAGTTGAGAAGTATGCAGTTAAACATTTGCTTCAAATTGAAACAAATGAAGAACTATACTTAACATGTAGACCAATGAACATGCATATAATATATTTATCACTATACGTTAAGAAAAAATAGTATAGACTTCAGGTCATTAAAAAACATATCATCGGTTCTAGATTAAGAATAAGAAAATTCATATTGATAGTATGTTATAAAATAAATTACGCGTTGTAAAATAAAATAACAAGAAGAAAATGGGAGAAAGAGAGAGAGAGAGTGTAACAGTAGTAATTTTTCTCTATTATTGAATGTTTTTTTTTTTTGCCTTACTCTTACCTTATGTTACAATAGAAGAAGAGGGCTATATATACATATATATTTGGGCTCCAAATAGATATCTATTTGTGATGTACATACTTGTACACCAAGTATATTATATGGATGACTAGGTTACAATACATTGTATGTTGTCTTACTATCCATCTTACACACAACGCATATTGTGTGTACATGTATGTTACAACACAATATATTAGGTGTACATTTATCTTAGAACGTAGAGTAATTTCTGTGGATCCATTTTACAAAAGTTACTATTTCATATATTTGCTAGTATAATTTAATTTTATATATTATATAAATTTTATATGTAATTATATACATATTCTATATTTTGATATTTTTCTGTAAATATCAATTTCTTTGTAATATTAAATATTTACCATATCATGTACTTGGGTGGAGTTGCCAATGGAAAATCATGTAATTCAGATTCTTTTCTGCCTGTGTTTAAAGACAAAAAAAAAAAAAAAAAGGTACGTAAGAGTGTCCAGTACTGTTGTGTAAACGACTTCTGTGAACACCAAAAGCTGTTGTTTTTAATGAAAAATCACAATCATGGTTCAACCATTCATGACAGCCCTGCATATACACACACACATTGTATATGTCTTTCATTTTTTCTGTTAAAAATCCTTTTTGTTTTTTCTCTCATAAGCTACCCCAAACCCCAGCTATTGCTAGGATGCTAGCTAGCACTACTCTCTTTTACTAATAAAACAATTGGACTATAAATACCACATGGGCCCATGGGGGAAAAAGTAACAAGAGATTTTCTTTTTAACTACTTAGACATGGGATTATAATAATTTCTTGGAATTAAAGATAGAGGAGTCGTTAGGTACAAAGATTAATAATATAGAGAGAAATGACGTAGGGATTAGTGGTGCAATGATTAATAATGAAATGTTTATTTTATCAAGTGTTTAGTTTATTATTTTTCACCTCATCTGATCTTATGGTTGAATTAGAACTCTATAAAAAGTTTCTTTTTCAATTATACCTTTGAATCATATTGAGTCAAGGTAGTTAATAATTGCCGGACAATATTGTTAACTAGCTATGAGAAGAACATTTGTTGTTGTATTTGCTACTTTTCACTTGAATTATTTAAGGATAAATAATTGTCATCTTAATAAATAGAACACTCACAAAATATCATTTTTAAATTTTAAAAAAGATAAGTTATCTACTTTTAAAATTAAAAAGACGGTCAAAATGGTATAATGGAATAAACTATCTATATTTACACATAAAAATTACAAGTTGTAATTTTAATATGCATGTAATTTTTTAAATTGTTCAAAATATACTACCATCGATTGACAAAGCAGAACGATCAAAAAAAGAAGTTAAGTTAGAAAGCCGTATGATAGGTGGTAACTATCTTGTACGGTTCGGGGGGTAATCGGCGTACTCCGATCAGTGAAAAATAGTTAAACACACACACACACGCGCACGCGCACACACACGCAAACACACACATTTCTGATTTTTATTGAATTTATTTAGTAACAAACAACTCTCTCTAATTAAATTATAAGCTAATTTATTTATACAAATTTAATATATCATAAAATCAAGAAAATAAATAAAATAACTGAAATGATTTGAGGAATATTTTTGTCTTTACATAGACATATCTCATGGTATTATATGCTATGTATTTTTAATACCTGTCAAATAAAAGTTATTAAACATACATCCTATAACACTAGAAGGTATAACAAATCCATGAATTAGATAATACATAAGCCCAAATTCTTACTATACATAATACTAAATAATATCTTACATAAGATATAAACTATTTCTTTTAATGCAGCCTACAAAACGATCCCATAGTCCCGTGGTGTATTTATGGTCTAATTTATGGTTATACATAGATATTTTTTAATTATAATTAAATCCTTAGCCATGAAATTAAGCTTAGTAGAAATGAAGATAATAACCCCAATAGAGTAAATGAACGGTACTGGTAACATTTTAAAGCTACAATTGGATAAGGTAATCCTTCCTAATCTTCATTATCCGTCAGATTTAATTTCCCTTTATTATTTATTTTTATATAATATATGTAAGGGGGATAAACGGCAACTTTCCGCTTACGACGATCGATCGGTCAAGAGTCATTTGGCTTTATCTCAATTCAACAAAACTAACAAGACATGTACCATATATTGTTTCCAAATAAAGAAGAAATTAAACAAAAATATGGTTTCTGATAACATCTAGGTTAATAAGTAAGATTTTACCACTTTTTTTTCTTGAGAAACTTCCTCGCTTCTTTATATTCAGTTTTTTTTTTAAATTGATATATTTTTATGTTAAGTGATAATTTATCTTTATAAATGTCAATTTTATCCTTAATAAAATAATTTATAACCACATAAATATCTATTACCCACTGTGTTTAAAAAGAATGATTTAATTTAAATTGGAACGGAGTTTTTAAAAGAAGTCTTTATAATTTTATGATTTTAAATTAAAGTCATTACAAATATATCAAAATACCCTTTATTCTTGTGATCTTAGATATACCATGTGAAAAGTTATAATTAAAGTATATTCCCAAAAGAAGAAAATGATTAATCTATCTGAAATAGACTAAAAAAAATCGAGTCATATTTTTTAAACAAAGGGAGTATACTTACAAAAATTTGAAAAGTTTTCCTGAACTCTGTATATGAATCAAATTGACTCGTATAAAATGAAACATAATGTTATTAGTATACTCACACATGAGTGAAGATGGCCAATTCATAACGTTAAATTATGTTCTTACAAACGATCATCACAACACAAAAGCATACTATCTAATTTATTAATCCTAATATTTCTTATTAATAAATAATTTCGTGACTCAACTTACTCTCATTCTTGCTAACACTCATTTAATTAATAAGTATTATTAATCTACCTAGCAATTATAATCTCAAACACAAACTCTCACTCAACTAATTAATTAACCATGAACAAGGCCACTTGAGAGTGCCATTAGAAGGATTGCTGCTTCCATCTCATCTTGTGGAAAAATTTGTTGGAAAGCCAACTTGTTGCTCAAGTTTATCAAGAAGTCCTCAAAACCAAGTTTCTTTGGTGCATTATTAGTACTAGATGAAGAAGGACCAAATTTGCACCTTTTCTTTAAGGGTTTAACGTCATTGTTACTTGTAACTTTTGTTGTTATATTTTGCTTGTGTTGTTGTACCTTTTGATCAGTTTTCCCTTCAGCTGCTGCTGCTGCCATTGCTCGTCTTGCTTTCCTTTGTCGGATTCCACATGCGTTACACAGTGACTGTAAACAATATTTCAGATTCAGCAGCTACCCATAGAGCTAAAGAAAAACTTTCCTTGTGTATGTATGTTAACTTTAGTACGTACGAATTTTAACTAGACGAAGAAATACAAAAAATTATCTGATTTCTTGCTTTAGTTGTTAGAGAAAAATTATGTCACTCCGTCTTAATTAACACGTCTCTCACACAAGTTAGCATGATTCTTTTTTCATACGCCAAAATTATGAAAATACATGTTTTTTTTTTCTTTTTCTTTTTAGATAAAGGCATTGAGATTTATGTTCTCTAACCGTTTAAGTTTTTATATGAAGTCTTCAATTGTAGGATCAAATCTCACTACCACACATTATCGAAACGACATTCTAACAAAGAAAAAAGAATCAAGTCTCCACATGAAAAGCATGTTGAGAATATATATAATTAAGTAATAAAAATGTGCTCCCAAACAACTTAAGTAAGTTGTTAGAACACTTCAAACAATTTGAACCTAGAACTCTCTCAAAAAGAGTAAAAGTTAAAGGAGGGTAAAAATACACATACATTTGACATGTATAATTGGAGTAAAAAACAAAAGAAGATTACCTTAGGTCCTTTAGGACCACTTCTCCAAAGAGGGGTCTTAGTAGTGTTACAATCAGTACAAACCCTAATAGGTATATTGTTGGAGCAGTAATCAGTTTGTATAGGTTTTTGCTTTTGATCTCCCAACTTCAATTTGATGCAAGCACTGTTGGTGCTGTTTTTCTTTTTTTCTTGATCCAACTTTTTTATCTCTGAAGACAATAACTTGTCTTCTCTCTTCCACAAGCTCAACTTGAGGCCACTTCCTACTTCGTTTTTCTTCCCCAAATCATATGATGATCCTCCATCGTTATCCACCTATAAATCCACAAACAACAACATTCGAAAAACACAATCAACATTAATTACTTTTTTTGAATACGAACAACAAAAACCAAGTGATCTTGGAAAAGAATTATAGTACCATATAGTAGTCATTTTTTTTTTGAGATAAAGTAACACATGATCAAACATGAGGGAAAAAAAAGAGACCCTTTTGTTGTATGTACCTCAAGTTGCTCATGTTGCATATAGTATTGAGTATGTTGATGATGAAAACTTGCGGTTTGATTGGTAGTTGAGTTGAAGAAAAAGTGATAATTAGGGGTAACAAGAGAATTGTTGTTACTATTATTGAGGCCAAAAGGGAAATTAGGAGTTATGTGATCAGGTGGAGTCATGGGAAAAGTGATCAATAGAAGAATGAGATAGATTGATCAAGAGGGAGATATTGGTTTAAGGAGTTGATCTTAAAAGAAGAGCTTTTTTTTTTGTCTAAGGAGAGAGAGGCTTAGACATTCACGTGACTTCATGACAACTAAACAGTTTAAAAGAGACAAAACAAAAGGAAATAAGAGATGGATACTACCACTCGACTCAACCCTATCTTCAAAACATTACTCTACAACCAAATTTATGTACCAACAAAACAAAATGTCATAAATTTTTTATTTTTTTTGGCAAGTAAAATTTATTTACCTAGTGAACGTTACAATTCAAAAAAAATAAATAAAAAAATCAACAGGTAGAAGCTCCCTCCTTGCTAACTTCAAGAAACATAACTCACTAGCTACCCTTAACGGATACATATTTAAAGTATGTAATCTAGCTAGTAATATCTACTCCCTCTTCCATGTATGTCCTCAATGATATGCCTAACAATTGTCCTTATTGTTCAACTTTTATGCACTGTCGGTGTATACTTTTTTTACACTAACACAAACCTTTTAGTTAATTTTTTTTTGTTGTTAATATTTTTATCTTATAAAATATAACTATCAAATATAGTAATATAAGGTAATTAGAATTCTATTTTTATTTTACCCATTTGTTTAAGATTTTCTTTTCTTACTAAATAAAATTATCAACTTTGTAATTTTACTGGATGCACTTTACAGAATTAAATGAACATTAAGTTTAACATATATATAGAGCTTCAACACAAATGGAGAGACAAGTATCTAGAATTTTGCTGTTAATTTTTTTTACTGTAGAAACTAATTTGAACATCTAAAGTACAATTTTTGTGTACTCCCGACACAATTATCATTTTAACTTATGTTTTGAGCTTTAAATTATTGATTTGTGTGTTTATTTACTCGATCCTCTGTTTTTATTTATCAAATAGATTACATTATGATTTTTTCCATCTACATTTCCAATCATAAAATTTTCATAAGTAAATAAATATTTTTTCCACTTTGACATTTATTGAAGCGTTGCACAAATAGGTGAAAACAGTACTTCAGTTTCTATTTCGTTTACTACAAAAAGTGCAAAACATTTTAGACAATCCATTCAAGTTTGACACTTTAGAATATTTTGTGATAAGATTCACAATAATTAATTTTGTATATCTTAATGATTGTCATAGTTGTAACTGCCGATATAAACAATATTTGTTGATAATATAAAATTGTATTAGTAGCAACACAAACCGAAAAACTACTTGATATACATATATTAAAAACTTCTATAATATTTTGCTAAAAAGAACCTAAACAGTGTAGTTCTTTTTTCAAATAAATAAATGACATTCACAAATTTTCTCCCTTCATGGGACAAACTACAAATGATTCATAAACTTAACTGAATTTTCAATATCAGTTCTATGTCTACGAAAGAGTGTACAATAATATTACATAACTTTCAAGAGTTTAAAAGAAGAGCTAGAGATGTCTTAAATGGAGCAATATGGTGAATGAAGGTTCATATAGCTTGGCGTCATAGTTCTCGTTGCTAGTTAGACTTAAAGTCCAAAAATAATTCACATCTAAAATTGTATTAAATTATTTCGTATATACAACTTAGGGCTGGCAGGGGGACCGGGTCATCCCGCCCCGGCCCGCGTCCCGTCCTGACCCGCCCCGGAACCGGCCCATCCCCCAGGGTTTAAGGGGATTATGGGATGGGGGATGAGGGGACCGGTTAGGGGCCGGTTCACCCCAGTGTCCCAGTCGACCTGGCCCGGTCCCGGCCCAATATTTTTTTTTAAATTTAAAAATGTAGTCGTTACTATCCGTTGGGGTAACAGCTAGTGGGCCCCCCAACAGATTTATGCCTCTTTTTGACTTCCCAAACACCCCCTACCACCCCCTACCACCCCGTACTTTTAAAAAATTATTTTAAACCCTCAAGTTATTATAATTACATTTTAACCCATTTTTAATACTATAAATACACCTATCCTCTACTATTTCTTACAAAATCATCTATTCTCATTTCTCTCATGTATTTTCTATATTCTATCAACTCTCAACTCTCAAGTGTCAATCTTAATATCTATTCAATTTTAATTCTCATATTATTAGAATCCATATATTTCAATTTTCAATTCAAAATTTTCATATTATATCAATAAATATAATTATATTATCTCATATTTGTTATCAAGTATTGGCTTGGAGTTACAAATTACAAGTTACAACAAATCACAAGCTTCAACAATCGGTTTAACGTCTGCTATTAACGCAGACGTTTGGTACATTCGTTTCATAATATTTATATTTTATTATTCGTCTTTACTTTTGTTTTATTATTATTTTTATATTACACTATATATATATATATATATATATGTATATGTATATATATATATATATATATATATATATATATATATACATATATATATATATATATATATAGTGTAATATATATATAAAATTAAGTATGAGTTCTAGCAAAAAAAAATAGCGGTAAAGAAAAAGAGAAAGCACAAGATAACGAAGAAAGTAGACTTTTTAAATTATTTAATTTTGGTAAAAAAAAAGTAAAGAAAAAAAGAGTAGTAAAAGTGGTGGTACTTCATCTAAATTAACGAGTCGAGTTAGATTTAACATAAATGATTCTACTTATGTTGATGATACTCCTTATAATATTGATTCAAATGTTGAACTCGATCATGAAAGTTTAAAACGACGTTATGGTAATATTAATTCTAATGTTGATGAAAATTCAGGTGAAGTAGAAGCTGATTTGGGAGAAGAGGAGTTAGATGAAACACCTACTAGTCCGGTGACAGAAGTTCCAAATGAGACTATCAATTTACCGGAGCAAAATTTTGGACATCCACCCCTTATACCTCCCACAAGGTAGAAGGTGAAGTATCAACGACCTAAAACTTCTATTGTGTGACAATTTATGACTTGTGATAAAGAAAATAGTGTTGCTATTTGTAATAAGTGTAAGCAAGCTTTTAAATATAAACAAGGTGGGGGTCAAGGTGGAACGGGGGGATTAAATAGACATTTGTTATCTTGTGTGCGGATTCTATATAAAGAAGCTAAAGCATTAGCCAATAGAAAAAAGGAAATTTCAATTAATGAATTAGATATTACCGGTAATGCATCGATAGCGGCTTCTAACATGGTTCAAGGAACATTAGATCCTTTTAACCCCGCTGGTCCAATAACACAACGTAAATATAATAAGGAATTAGATCGGGAAAATTTAGCTAAAATGGTTTCTGTTTGTGGTTTGCCTTGTAGGTTTCCTTCAAATCTCGGTTTTGTCGAATATATTCAACAAACTTATAATCCGGATTATAGAGGCTTTTCAAGAAATACTGTAAAAACTGATGTTTTTGAATATCAAGGTAAACATTGTCAATTTCTTCGTTGTCTATTTAGCATATTAGATAGTAGAGTGTCTATTACTTCGGACATGGGTCGTAGTGTTAATGGAAATGATTATTTAACAGTAACTGCACATTGGATTGATCATAATTGAAATTTGCAAAAAAGAATTATATGTTATAAACTATGTATAGAGAAAAAAATTGGTGAATATTTAGCTACAAATATTTTAAATGTTTTAGATTATTACATGATTATAGATAAAATAATGTCTGTCGCATTAGATAATGCATCTAATAATACAAATGCTGCTAACATGTTAAAAGTTAGATTATGTCCAATTGACAATAAAGTTTTTCATGTTATATGTGTTGCACATATATTAAATTTAGTTGTACAAGGTGGTATTTCATTATTTGATTGTGGTAGCGTAAAAGTTGAATATGCTGTTACCTCGATTTTTCATACAAACAATGCTGCTAGAATTAGGGAATTTAATGAGCGTTGTTCACTATGTGAATTGTCACCTAGAAAAATTTCAAAACATATTAAAACAAGGTGGAATTCTCTTTACGAAATGCTTTCGGTTTCTTATAAATATAGAATACCCATACAAATGATTTTAATGCTCATACTGCTAACCCATTAGATAGAATTTGTGATGAAGATTGGGAAGAAACTAAAGAACTATTACAATTTTTAAGACTTTTTTATGATGCTACTACCATATTTTTGGGAATTTATTATACTACTATTTCATCCGTATTAATAAATATTTGTGCTTTTTCAATTCAATTTTCTAAATATAAAAAAATAGATCACTTTAAAGTTGCAATTGAAGGTATGATTGAAAAATTTTAAAAATATTTTTTTCCTATTCCTCATGTTTTTTTAACGGCTACTTTACTTCATCCTGCTTATAAATTACAAGGTGTGAAAGGCCTTGTCGACACTTTTTATGAAACTTTAGAAATTTTACCGGAAGAAACTCCAGATTGTGAAACGTGTAAGTCTAGCATAAAAATAGAAGCAAAAGTTTTGTATGAAAAATATAGAACTAGTGAAAATTTTGAAGGAGAAGTTGGTCAAACTTCTAATGTTGAGATTGATTTGTCAGTTCCAATTTCATGTTATATGCGAGGTTTTCTTGGTCTTAATTCTACTAACCGTGATGATTTTGAAGAATATCTTAATCAATCTTTAGAAAACTTGGAAATCAAAGATGGCAATGAAGATTTATTAGGATGGTGGAGTAGACGAAGCGATGCATTTCCAACTTTGAGCAAAATGGTTCGTGATATTCTAGCTATTCAAGCTTCATCAGTTGCATCGTAGGCTGCTTTCAGTGCGGCAAGGTTTCAAATCGTTGATCATAGACATTCATTGGCGGAAGAGAGTTTAGAAACAACAGTTTTATTTAGAGACTGGTGCAATGCCGAAAGAAGGAATAACAATTTGCCAAATTTAAGTAAAAAACAAGCAACTTGGATCAAAACTTGTATTGAATGCAGTGATGATGAATTAGAGGCACAAGAATTTCTAACAAGTTTGCCAACACCGGAGGATATCACCATCGATATGATGCGACAATTAGAATTAAATTTTAAAGGAGAAAACAGATATTATTAGATTACATTCGAGAACTAATTGAAACAGAACCCTTTCTAGAAGGTGGCTGCATCAAATTAGTTACTCATCTAATATCTGTAACAAATATTAGTTTTACGTATGAGAACTTATTGAAACAGAACCC